AGCTGTTTGTTTAAACACAAAAACGTGTAAAACATAAATATGTTCTTGACGGGTGTCAGTTAGAAGTCTATGGGAACGATTAAAAAAACAGTGAAACGCATGAAGAAAATGTAGGCTTAGATAATCAAAGAAATGAACCATGTGCGTCCAGAACAGAGGTATCAGTTTCACATCTCAAGTGTTTAGTCCTATCCACCCAAAGAGCCGTCTGAAAGGGTTCGCGACATTTTGTTTTATAATTATTAGAACCCACATAACAAGCTCACATAACTGGGTGCGAATGTGTCACATGAGACCGGAGATGACGTCACATCTTATGATAAAAAATCAGATAACCCAGCACAATTTTCACCGAAAATATTTTGCATCACCACAAAATGTACAGTAGAGCAGTAACACAGTAATGTTTATATCGATTTCACAGTATCTAGGTTTAATAAAAATAAAGTAATTCTTTCAGACGTTTTTAAAACAAACCTAACTGCTAACTTATTAAAACATTATCTCATATTCTCTATAAAAACACGTAGTTTCTGGTCGATGCTATTAGTCGGAAATGTGTCTCATCATAGACTAGCGCACTAACTATTACAACATGGAGTACATCAAGTTCTTTAGACTGAGGTATATATTTCAACAACAACTAAAGAACAGTTAAATTAACAAACAGCCTCTAAACAACACACAACTTAAAAATATAATATTACGATATTTTAATCCAGTACAGAGTTTTAAAAAAATCAAATTAAAACACGACAAAAGTCGCTCTGGAAACATTACAAGAAATTAATTTCTCAAGTGAAAAAAATAAAATAAAAAACCCGAGTGTTATTTCAATCATTTTTCTTCAAACACTTTCGTACTCATCTTTCTAAGCTTCCCTTTTTATGCTCTAAACTAGCTGGTTCCTGATCTGTAGTAAAAATACGTGACGAAAGAGAGAAAAGGCAAACTAAGCGCTGATTGAAATGTATTCACAAAGAGAAGTTGCATAAAATAAATCAATACTATTTATTTCCCAGACTTGAATAATTTACTTTCTCCCCTACTTTAAATGGCACATATCGGATAAGAAAAGCCCGCCCATTAGTAATGGATTTAGACAAAATAGGTTACTGATGTTATGAATGCTCTAATGGCAAATGAAGCGACCGTGCGTAACCGTAGCCATTACGTTAGATAAATAATCTATACTATTATTCTGCTTTTTTGTATCTACGACCGTTACGCTTTCTGACCGAGAACCTGCTGCATAAGCATGCGTAGTAGGAATGTTCCCCTCAAGAAAAACCGCGCATGCGCATTATTCACTCGACGACAAACAGTCTGCCTGCGCCAGAGAGCTGCAAAGCTCAGTGATCACGTCGCTACAATTGCTATATGAAACAATAAGTAACAACAAAAGGGGAATGTAAATATATTTTACTAACCATTTTGTACAACAGAATATTAAAAACTTATCCATTTTTTAAAAAAAGGTTAGACGTTAGGTCGTAGAATAACATTATAAGTTTATTTATCGATAGTATTAAGTACAGTAAAGTTTAGTCCTAACTAAACTAAAGTAAAAAAACGTATATAGGTTAAAGTGTTAATTTATCTCTTTACAAGTACGGCCTATATAGAAGTGGATTTACACATTTCGTTGTCTACGATTACAATCCGTTTGTATTGTGCTAGAAATGTTATATTTAAGGAAGTACTGTTACGATAAAGATAATAATTTGGCCAGAAACGTTTTGCTAATCATTTATAAGTTTCCTTAATATCTGTTGTCTTCTATTTTTTCAAACATGGAAGCAATGTCTAGAATATATTGGATCGTAACGATAATAAACTGCAAAGTACTTGAAAAATAATAACTGACATTCACAATCCACTACATAACTATACACAAGTTTCAGATTCTGCCACCAGGGGCACACCACACGTTTCTCCATTCCAGTCTTAGCTTTCAATTTTCAAATTAATATATGATGACTTAGATATCGTTATCAGAGATCGTATATATATAGCCTTACTCTCAGTGCCAATGGAAGATTCATGTCACATATTCCTTTACCATAGCTTTACTTTCACAAAAACTCAGCTCATGCATCAGAACCTAACTTCAAAGACCAACGGGTAACTTATATCACTGCACTTTCTCACTATAGCTTTGCTTTCATCGTAGCTCAGTTCATTCATTTTATCATCAGAACTTCACTTTAAAGACCAACGGGTAACTTAGATCACTGCACTCTCTTACCATAGCTTTACTTCCAAGTACACCAAAACATTACATCTTACTTACCATCATCACAATTTTAAGTATTAGTAACTAAAAGGTTTTAGAAAAACTTAAAATATCAAATAAACCTTTAAACGTTTACTATGAATCAACATCTGATGTGGAATGAAACAGAGACTGATGGTACCAACAGATAAGTTATCTAGTATACAGTTCTGTAAAAATACTAAAACTAATGTACCATGAATCCACTCTAGAACTAACAAAAACCGAAAACTAATAAAAACGTAGGTATGAAAACATCATCAATAAAAGAACTGAAATACAATGTTCTTCACCAGCTAAAATGTTCTTAACATAAATGAATACAAATAATTCAGTTTCAGAGATTTAACTTTAGTGATATTCTTTATACACAAAGACAGCTGTTTCGAAAGAGCATGTACTCTGATATATACGTATGTTATCATTGTGTGTTTCTGTACGGTTCGTATTTCCAGTACAAGACCTTTACAGAATCGAAAACCTGTTCTGTTTAAGTGAAACTTTCAAATCTGTTCATCCAATTTACAACACAAAATGGTAGTGTTCTATGATACACTACTAGCCACCTGATTGATATTCCAAGTCTTGCTACCGTAGTTAGTACTCCTACAGCATTATCTCTATGAAGGATAAATAACCCATAATGCATTAGCCATCTGTTGTTTTACCTGTTTGATTCTTGAGCTTTCCACTCAGACATTTAAACGTTTACACACATACAGCACGAGTGTGGTAAGTGCAAAGTTCAGTTTATCAAAATTGCCTCCTTTATCTTACAGTAAGGAAACGCAGAAGTATCGCGTGTTGGAACACTTCACTAAAATTAGATGAAAAAAGACAGACCCCTTTACAAGAATTACAGAGCCGAGAGTGCGTGTTGTAGTTTGAGTATGGGCTATCAGATAAACGGGGGTTGATAGAAAAGATGCAAGCTCCTGTCTCTTGCCGACACATTCTTAGTTACGTGGGTCAAGTAAAGAGCCACATGTTGAGTCCTTTATTATCTTTCTTCGCAACCCTCCCCTTTTTATACTGCATAAAAAGGAAGAAACAACGAACAAAAGCCCCCCCTCTCGTGGTATAATACGACGAAAATACTTCAAATAATAAATTAGCTGGTTACCCATTTTAGCCAAGAGCATACTTGTTGTTTGTTCCCACAACAAGGATAACCAACATTTTAAATTGGCATATAGCGAACCGATTATTAAAAATAACAGATATATCTTTAATGGTGTTTCCAACCAGCTGATATGGATATCGACTGGTTCGACGAATGAAATAAACCGGGGAAAAGAATATAACTAAAGCTTCAAAAATAAACAAACTGTGTTGTATTTAGAAACTGTGATGATTTTTTATTGCACATATTATAAATTTACTTTTTTTTTCTAATAAACTGAAGTTTCTCCACTGTAAATAAAGCAGTGATATTAAAAGTACAGTACTGAGTACCGTCCATTGTTGTCTCAGACAAAGTACTGCCAGCTATTATTGTTTCAGGACAAAGTACTGCCAGCTATTATTGTCTCAGACAAAGTACTGCCAGCTATTATTGTCTCAGCAAAGTACTGCCAGCTATTATTGTCTCAGACAAAGTACTGCCAGTTATTGCTGTTTCGGACTAAATTCTTCCATCTGTTGTTGTTATAGCGTAAGTAGATCCATCGTCAGAGTAATTCCTTCTATTGTTTTTTCAGGGGAAATAAATTGGATTAGAAAATATAGAAATATCGTCAGAAAATCCCAACCAACTTATGCCCGTGAATCAGTGGCTTGTTTATTTGTTGATAAACACAAACCTATACAATGGGCTATCTATGCTCTGCCCACCATGGGTATCGAAACCCGATTTTTTTTAGTGTTATAAGCTCTCTGACTTACTGGTGAGCCACCGGGGAGGAGGGGGGGCACATAGATTTGTACGTTTCTTACTGTATTGTTTGTTTGAAGTTAAGCACAAAGCAACACAGTGGGCTATCTGTGCTCTGTCCACCACGGGTATCGAAATCCGGAATTTTGCGTTGTAAGTCCGCAGACATACCGTTGTGCCACTGGGAGGCCGTTTCTTACTGTAAACCCGTACTGAGCCATAAAAAAAAAGATTTGTTAACAATTTTTATCAGTCTTATTTTAATTTAATGGTACACCTACCATTCATCATTTTTGTTGAAACGTTGAAAAAGCGTTATTTATACAATAAATTTATTCAAGTGATTTCCCTAATGTAAATAAAAATTTAGATCTTTTAACAGGATCAACAACGTGCATTAGCAGAAGCTTCTATTTTTAAAATGTTGACTAACAGTCTGATAGCAGACTTTAATAATAAAACAAATCACATAAAACAATTAATTACGTTTCACGGCTAGACATATACACACGTCTTTATCAAGACTCAACGTTATTATGAATTATTACCTCAGACTTGTTTGACCTTGAGGAACGCCAAAGGTTAATTGTCAGACTTGTAGTTTTACCATAAGTAATTAGTATTCACTAGTTTTGCTTTACACACTGACGTTTGGTCAGACTTATTTTGCTTTTAAGTGTCGTCAGTATAACGTATTAATTGAGAGTATTTTCTATTTTCTTACAACTTTTGTTGTTAATTGAAAAGTGAATATATTTTAAACACAAATTGTTTCCTTCCCTCAAAATATTGTTCCATCAGTAAATGTTTAATCTCGTAAGTAGTATACTTTTACACAGGTCGTTTACTTACGTTCCAAGTTCGTTTCCATTCCAACAGTTTGATTCTCCTTTTACAGCTAGAGTTTCATCGTTACATATATCGTCGGCTAGATTAGCGTAGAATCCTTTAGATTGCGACAACTTCTTGACAAAATTTTGGAGACGAACGTGCCACGTGGAAACAACCGACCTCGAAGTTACAATTTGTCCATTTGTTTCTTGCTCAGAGTCGGTGGCTTCTGACGAAGATCTTGTGGACCGTTTCGGGTGCCCACAAACGTTTTTAACCTAAACAGCGATAAGACAAATGGAAAGTTTTGAATAAAAGAGATATACATTATATTCTAATCTAAATGAGCTGGTTGAAATTATAATTAATTAAATAATTTCTGAAAATTCGGTTAGAAAATATCTTGAGAAAATCCTAACCAACTGATAAAGTGTGAAGTTTGCTGCAAGTAAATGGTATTATGGAATAAGATTCTAAAACTTCAGAGAGATTCAAAGAAACACTCATTTTTGTTGATAAAAATATAACGTACGTTATTTATAACGAGCTGGAGTACCCGTTCCCTGGACGGAAGTTATATAAATTCATGATTAATGAAAGGTTATATCAGGACATGAAAAGTTGCTTCCCTTATATGTAATTGTAAAAAAAACGCCCATAAAAACTGCAAAACACAAAATGTGAAACCACAAATTTGCAAGTATCTCCGCATGGACCCAACAAACCTTCAAGCCAAATTTGGTGAAGATCCATAGCCAAATTTGGTGAAGATCCATCAATAGGGGGCAAAATAGTAGTAAATGCGTCCATGCAACACGCAAAACTGACAATTTGTATGTACCCTCGCATGGACCTAATGAACCTCCATACCAATTTTGGTGAAGATCCAGCCACACCCTGCGAATTAGTTACATGAACATAGAACAGACAGTACTATTATATTCATATAGATATAAATTAAAGCCTTAACATGTTTCAATTAACCAGCAATATTTCGAACTATTCTGCAAAGAAAAGACAACAGCTCTAGTAGAAACAACTAATTTTTAATAGAAACTCAACAAAACATTCGGCTAATAAGCTTTTCCTCATCAGGACATGTTAACACGCTGAACAAGTTATCATTTACTAAAAGTCTTAATAAAGGCAAAGTGTTCATTTGCTGAAAAGTTTCTTGCTCCTAAGCCTTATTATTCTGTCATAATGAGGCCAAATACACAACGCGTTGATTCAAACCAACCTAATTATCAAGTATGACATTACTTTGTAAGCACAGCTGTCACGTCCTTCAAGAATCGTATTGGTAGGTCAGATGAAAGTTTTTCTTCAAATATCAATACTAACGACGTTGTAAGGACAAGCTATGACACCCATCTCTTAATGTGATAGTCCACATACACATTAATAATAATATTATGATTAGATAATATATATATGTCTGTGCTATCAGGAAAAAAATTTTAAAATGTTCATTTACCATATATGAAAAACTTGTGAAAATAAAGATATAATTTAAATCATAGCTTTAATAAAAAAAAATAAAGGTTTCTTCTTGAACAATGCAAATACGTTTTTTTTTTCAATCACGACCTTTCAAAAACCACCCGTGCAAACAAACGAACGTTCCCTTCCAAAACAGCTAACGGCCTCAATAGTGCCCCACCCCCCTACCATACAGGTGACGACCAAACCATATGGTTAGGCTTTCTACGCCCATTCTACTGTCCACAGACAGTGTGTGTTCTCACAGAGTTGAACTACGCTACAGGAAGTCTTACCTAGTCCCCTTGGCTAGTTTTTATTTTTATTTTTTTAACTCCTTCTCTCAACCCCACCCAAAACACACCTAGAAATATTGTTCTCACTCTATTCTTACCGTAACTTTTCACCTACCTTTACAGCCCAAAACACGGGTTTGTTCTTACAGATGAGACAAACAGCAAATTGTCCTATAAAAATATATGCTCAGCACTAAAGCGTATCAAGACAAGCATAGTGAATAATAACATAGAACTAGAAAAATTAGTTTATAAACTTTTCTTAATCTCGGATAAAACGTTCCATCACATAATGTGACATCTTCTCTCCGCATCATGATATATAAACCGCGCTACATAAAAGTATAGTAAGCAATATCGTGGTAATTTCTGGACTATATCTTGTAACAAGAGAATACATAAGTAAATCAAATGGGTCTAGAAGTATGTATACACTATATCAAACAGTCACCTACTAGTGATGAACGGTTTTATTTTCAAATGACGGAAACCGAACGAACACAGAAACAAGCTAACTTTATCAAAATTCACAAGAAATAATGTCAGAGTAATGACACATTTTGTTTTATCCAGGTTCGTCGTGAGGAAGTTTGCGGTCAAGCTATTGGAAAACTGATCAGTATACATGTATCAAACAGCCTAGAAAAATCAACTACTCCACGTCACAACTGGTACAGTGTCCTTAGGACTCGCCATTTCACAGCCTTTAGGTTTGACGCGGACTTCAACATAGGAGCTAGAGGAATTATCAGCCACCAAACTGTAATTAAGTTTTTATAAAGGCAACTTCAGTTCGAGAAGTTTGTTTACTGAATTTCGCGTACAGCTATTCGAGAACTATCTGCGCTAGCTGTCCTTAGTTTTCAAGGGATAAGCTAGTAGAAAGCAGCTAGTCAAAACCACTCACCGCCAACTCATGGGCTACTCTTTCCAACGAAAATTGAGGTTGAATGACACAGTATAATGTTCGGTGACGGATTCGAACCCTCGAATGCAACATAGCTGAACATGGTACCTTTCATAGTAGTTATGATGTGTGTGTGCGTGGGAGGGAGGGGGGTATTACTAATGAATAAACTGCAGATCTTACCGCGCTTCCGAGGAGTGCATTTACCGTTTAAATATATATTCGTGGCGGTGGACCCAGTTGTGTGACTTTTGTGGATGCAGTCAGATCAGACTTTATCAGGAGGAAGGATAATGACCTGTGTAATAATGCCACTACTGTGATGGATTATATTGTACAAAAAAACATACAGTTCATAGATAGACCAGCAAGAAGTTCCGAGTAATCCCACATAATACTTCCGGAGCTTTGGAGTTCCGAGTAATCCTACATCATGATAGTTCCGGAGCTTCGTTGAACGCCGTGTACGTTATTAGTAAACACCTTGACAATCTTTATCATATAACGTACCGAAAGGCGAATCTTCTCAACTATTCATAATTCTTTATTACATAATATATCTGAGCATTTAGACGCTAAATATCCCAATAATCCTCGTTAAGTAATGTATTAGAGCATTTAGACGCTAAATATCCCAATAATCCTCGTTAAGTAATGTATTAGTGCATTTAGACGCTAAATATCCCAATATTCTTCGTTAAGTAATGTATTAGTGCATTTAGACGCTAAATATCCCAATATTCTTCGTTAGTAATGTATTAGTGCATTTAGACGCTAAATATCCCAATAATCCTCGTCATTCATTTATCAAAGCATTTAGACCCTAATTGTCCCCAAATTTTTCGTTATGTGATTTACTAAAGCGTCAAGACCCTAAGTATCCCAAAATTCTTCATTATTAACTTATCAGAACACTTATATCCTAAATATTCCCAAATTCTTCATTATTATTTTATCGGAACATTTATATCCTAAATATCCCAGTAATACTCTTCCCATTTAATGTATTAGAGCACTTAAACATCGTAAAATTCGTAGTTAGGTATGGTATCAGAGAATTTATATAGTAAATATCCCAATATTCTTCGTTAGGCAATGTATGAAAACATTTGAACACTTTTTTGTTTTGTTTTGTTATTTTACATTATTTATAGCTTAGTTCGACGCTACTGGAAAATTATTGTACTTCAACAATTATCATATAATCCAAAGCGATTTTAAGTAAATTTCACTAGACACCTATTTTACTCTAGGGGTCCAAAACTGTCAGTCGACATACATAAAAGAATTAAAGGAATGTGATCACCCAGAACGAATCAACATGCAGATACTACACTTCTACAGAGGTGACACCTGGATGGAATACCTAACAATGACAAAACCGCGCACGTAGACCAAAAAAAGAGCGAGATAAATGAAATGAGTAAAATAAAAATAGATTATTATAGTATTACAAGTCCTACAGTGTTGATTGGTATTTCTACAGAAAGTTATTTTGATTTAAAAAAACAAACTACAATTAACGTGACGTAGTACACAAAATATTAAGCTACACATTTTGGTAAACAAACAGAAACGAGAAACATGATGATTTTAACTTTTTGTGCAATCGAGAACAAAGACACCATAAATTATTTTTGGTAAAGAGATACATACAGGATACACAGAACACATACACCATAAATTATCTTTGGTAAACATATACAGACAGGATACACAGAACACAAACACCATAAATTATCTTTGGTAAACAGATACAGACAGGATACACAGAACACAAACACCATAAATTATCTTTGGTAAACAGATACATACAGGATACACAGAACACAGACACTATAAATTATCCTTGGTAAACAGATACTTATAGGATACACACCTCTTAGTAACAACCTCTGAGAACTTTTTAGATTCAGGAAAAAATTCAAAGTAGATGTGTGGAAATTAAGGAAAAGGAGACAGGAGCGGGGCTGTACCAGTAGGAGGTGCAAGGGGCAAATGTGACCGGGCTTACCTGAGCATGCTTCTCGCATAAAAAATATACGAGAAGAAGTAGAATGTTAGTTTCTTCTTTCAATGCCCCCTCTCCAAGACCTCCTCGCACCCGGGCCCCGAGATTTCTTAGTGTGGTGCTGGACAAGAGACTGAGAAACTGTAATGGGTGTTGTTACTCATGAGTGTATACATAAGATGTGTAGGAATGCTTACCCCAAATATTATTTTAAATTTTGTGATTATAATCGGTAGGGCTCCAGCAATGCAGTTGGGTGCCAAATGGTACTATGCATGAACCTAGGCACCACAATGGGTGCCCAGGTGCTATCTAAGAACAACAACCAGTTGTAATCCTAAAACAAACAAAAGCTATAATTTCAACCAACTCAGCCTTCTTCACTTTATAATAACTTTGAATTAATTGCTTCATTGTTTAAAATATATTCTGTGGATTTAAAATATTGCATACCACCCCTATGCATAAAAACGTAAAAATATATTTACGATTCATATCAATTATATAAACCAACTTTTAAAGTTATTACGAAGAAAACCGTGTATAACATTTAAATTCCCAGAAAAAAAAAGTTTTTTTTGT